TGTGAGCGGGTGTGCAAGTAGGTCTGGGGTTAGAGACCAATGTGGGTATGACAAGGTACAGAGAGACTAATCTCTGTGGTTAACAAGGGTCACTGGGGTACTGTATCAGTTAAGATGCTTTTGGCTACAAGTAATAGAAAGTTTAGTTCAGTTGGTTTATACTAGTGGTTCTCAAGTGGAGATGACTTTATCCCCCAGTGGACATTTGGCAATAAGGGGAGACAATTTTAGTTGTCAAAACTGGGCTTTGGGGTGCTACTCATATCTAGAGGGTAGAGGCCTGGGAGGCGGCTCAATATCCTACAATGCACAGAACAGCACCCACAGCAAAGAAGTATGCCACCCACAATGTCAGCAGTGATGTTGTTGAGCAACTCTGGCTTAAGCCAATTTGGAACAGTTTATGGTTCCATATTATAAACAGTTTCGAGGCGGTTATTTTGTCCACTCATTAAAGCGCTGGGTTCTCTCCATCAGTAGGCCTTACCTCTGCCATTTATGGGGCCTATGCTCTGTCAGGGTCACAAAACACTAAATGGCTCCAAGAATCACATCTTCATTCAAGAGCATCCTCCTGTCACTGGTTGAAACTCAACTTCCTTTTCCCTCTCACTGGCCTCGTGTCTCATGCCTACTCCTAAGTCAGTCCTGGGCAAGAGGATTACCTTGATTGGTTTAAACTAATCAAAACCCTTCACCTCCACCCCCATACTGGTGCTGGGGTCCGAAACCTGAAGAAAATTTATATTTTGTTAAAAAGAAAATGTGTCTTCTGGAGAGGGGAAAGGTGCTGTGTAGTTCATGTCAAAATCTCCCCGACTTACTGGGTCCATAAAGCTGAGAAATGAGCTCCTGGCCCTCCAGGCTAGAGCTTACAGCTCAGTCACCCACTTTGCATCCTGCCCCCCAATCATTTATTTCATAAACAGTACACAGTTACAGAATGCCTTCTCACTGTGCTAGGGACGAAACAAACATGGGGGCTGTTGGCCCGGGGCTTGTGGTCTTGTAGAGGACACAGTAATCAAATAATCTCACAGATGATATGTGATTATAGACAGAAATATGCCGTGATTAAAAAGTACTTGGAGCTATGACATCATATAACAGGGGACCTGACCTGGGGAGTGAAAGAGGGTCAGGAGAGGTGTCCTTGGTGGAGCTAAGATCTGAGGAATGAAAAAAAATTAACTAGATAAAGGATGAGGGCAGAGGAGATTTTCTGGGAGGGGGATGACCCATGCACATGCCTCTGTTGGGAAGAACGTGGCTCAACCCAGGAAATACAAAGGTCAGTATCATGCAAAGCAGAGGTCTAGGGGAGGTGGCATATTGAGAGGTTAGGCAAGGGCTAGATCTCCTAGGGCCCTGTAGTTCATACTAAGGCTTTTTATCTTGATCTTCAGAGCAAGAAAAAGTCATTCCAATGCCCTACATAAGGACACATTGACTGCAGCGTGAAGAACAAATTAGAGAGAATCAAGTGAGATTTGGGAAGACAGGGAACCATTGCAAGGGTAAAGGCAGGTGAGAAGTCATGGCAGTTTGGACCACGATGGTAGTGAGGATGAAGACAGGTGGTTAGAGAGACACTGAAGCGATAAGATGGACAGAATTTGTTGATGGATTTGTTGTGGATCAGGGGAGACATGAAAATGTTAAGGATGGGTTGTACGATTCTGGATTGTAAAAATGGTAGGAAGGTGGAGCCATTTACTGAGAAAAAGAACCCTGGAAAAGGAGCAGAGTTGTGGAGAAATTGGAATTTAGTTTTGGACAGGGTGAGATTGTAGTTCCATTGAGACATCTAAGTGGAGGTGATGTGTAGGCATTTGGATATATGGATCCAGTGATCCAAGGAGAAGACTGGGGTGGAAATGTAAATGTAGGAGATACCAGCATACATGGTGCAGTCATTGTCTATTGCTGAGCAACAAAGACCTCAACACTTGGTGGCTTAAAAAAACAATCATTTATTATCTCTTATGGTTTTGGTATATTGGGACTTTGGACAGGGTACAGAGAAGATGACTTAACTCTGCTCTACAGTGTCTGAGGTCTCAGCTGGAAGACTCAATGGCTGAGAGCTGGAATTATCTGATGTTGATGTTGGCTATTGGTTGAGACCTTAGCTTAGTTGCTTAGCTGTTGGCTGCAACACCCACATGTGGCCCTTCCATGTGGCCTGGGCTTTCTCACAACAGGATGGATTGGTGCCAAAAGTGAAAATCTTAGGAGAGAGAGCCAGGTGGAAACTGTATTTTTTACGTGACCTAACCTCAGAGGTCACATAGTGTCACCTCCACCATATTTCATTGGCCAAGGAAGTCATAAGCTGCCACCCAATTTCAAGGGGAGAGAACTCAGACCCCACTTTTTGGTGGAAGAGTGTCAGTTACATTGTAGAGAGGTTATGTGGGATGAGATGAATACATAGCTGTGAATATCCTTAGGCAATACAATCTGCCACAGACGGTAATTGAAAGTGATGGATAAGACCTCCCAAGGAAAGAGAATATAAAGAGCCTACAGTGGAATCTTGGTGTGATCTCACAGGGCAGGAGAAGATGAATCTACAAAGGAGGCAGAGAAGGAGCACACAAGGAGGTAGGAGGAAAACTGGACAGTAGGATGTCACAGAAGTCATTGGGGGAAAGTTCATTCATTCGTTCATTCTTTCACTCATTCATTCAGAACCTTCTATGCCAGCCTGTTCTAGGTGTTGGGAATATAGTAGTGAATGCAAAATTCCCTGACTTTGTGATGGTTATATTCTAAGAGAGAAATACCCAACTAGTTGAGAACTGTAAAAATGTGCCTTGGAGGTAGTGACAGGAAGGTCATTGGTGACCTTTGTAAAAATAACTTTATTTAGAGTGATGGGGTAGAATCCAGCTTGTGGTGGATTGAGGAATGAATGTAATAAATGGGTTAGGGAGGTAAAGATATCTCTGGTTTTCTGAAGGTGAGGGTGGTGCCACAGAACCCCAGCCAGGACATTACTTCTGTGGAGCATGTCCTGTTGTCAGGGTGGATGTCTGTATTGGTTCTTCATGCCCAGGGGCTCAGAAGTTGGAAGAGGCTGAAGCCCCATTGTGGCTGGTAAAGAACCTGGATGAATTTTTCCTGGGCTCCATTCAGTGTTGTTTGAGAAGGAACTAAGAGAATGCACTGCCTTGCATAGCCCCAGCCTCCAAACTCAGTCGTATTGGTCTATCACAGGCTGTTTGTTTTGACCTTCTTTTTTTTTTTTTTTAAAGATTTATTTATTTATTTTGAGAGAGTGAGAATGAGAGACAGAGAGAGAGAGAGAGAGAGTACATGAGAGGGGGGAGGGTTAGAGGGAGAAGAAGGCTCCTCGCTGAGCAGGGAGCCCGATGCGGGACTCGATCCCGGGACTCCAGGATCATGACCTGAGCCAAAGGCAGTCGCTTAACCAACTGAGCCACCCAGGAGCCCTGTTTTGACCTTCTTGATGCCTGGACTTCCTTCCTTCCTTCCTTCTATCCCACTCACCACTTGAAGCCGGCTTCAAGATTCCTTCTCCATGGGGCGCCTGGGTGGCTCAGTCGTTGGGCGTCTGCCTTCAGCTCAGGTCACTGTCCCAGGGTCCTGGGATCCAGCCCCGCGTCGGGCTCCCTGCTCCGCGGGAAGCCTTCTTCTCCCTCTCCCGCTCCCCCTGCTTGTGTTCCCTCTCTCGCTGTGTCTCTCTCTGTCAAATAAATAAAATCTTAAAAAAAAAAAAAGATTCCTTCTCCATGAAGAAGAACCCACTTCAGTGCTCATGGATCTCCCTCACCCACTGAGATCCTGACCAAAGCTTGACCCTGCACCTGGCATGGGTCTGATGGGCTCATAATCTATGTGTCCTATTTGGTCTCCGCATATCACACGTAACCTTCTTACAGAGGACCAGCATTGAGATGTTTCCTATGTTTTCACAGTAACTCTGAGTGGAGCTCAGCATTGGGCTAAGCTACTGGCAGGGGACCAATATTTATTGAATCTACCAAGTGAATCAATGCAGAGCCTCCCTGTGGCCTCCCCCACTCACCCCACTCCTCTCAGCCAGGAGAGGAATGGGACTGATTTTTCAGGAGTCTGCTTGTGAATCCCCTGGGAAATAAACAGCGGGAGAGACCCTCTCTATACTCAGGAAGGTCCAGTATGGGGATCGGGGAAGGCGGGGGGCATGGTTCCTCATTCCCAGAAACATGCCCGAATCAGGTAGGCAGAACACACCAACTCACAGCAACAGCTGAACACGTCCATTTAGGTACAGCGAATAGATACAGAATAAAGAATTGATGAAGGTAGGATGGTCTTCTCCTCTCTGGCAGCATTTTTTTGTAAGTGAAATTCTTACATTTGATGTGGGAGAAATACAAACATCACTTATTAGCTGTATCACCTTGTATAAATTGCCTAACCCCCTGAGGCTCAGTTTTCCAGTCTTTAAAATGAGAATAATAATTCCCACTACATGGGATTATTAGAAGAAGTGAATGAGACACCATAGAGTTGATTCAGATTACTTGCAGACTCCGCAGCTACAAATTCACCTACTTACTAAAATTTATTTAGAAACGCAAAATCAATATTTGCAGGGCTTTCGGGATCATTCTTGGACACATACAAACAGGCGGAAAACTTGAGTCACCTGACATGCATGTTTCCAGTTGAAGTCAAACAAGGCACCCCTTCTTGTTTCAGCTCTCCTACTATAAACCAGTGTCCTTTTTGTGGCCTATTTATTGCCATGTTTGTGAGTTGTTTTTTGTTTTGTTCTGTTTTTTATTGATGATTTTGCTGCTTAAAATGGGCCCAAGCCAGCAGTGTCAATGTGCTGTCTACTGTTCTAAGCAGGAGAATGCTGTGATGTGCCTTCCAGAGAAAATACACATGTGAGATAGTTTGGTTCAAGCATGAGTTACAGTGCTGTCCGCAGTGAATTCAATGTTCATGGATCAACAATCTATATTAAGTAAACAGAAGCACACTGACAACAAGGTTATGTATTGATGGGTTGATGAAAATGTCACCAGGGGCTCCCAGGAACCTACCCTTGCATTTCCCCCAGAAACAATGGTTCCGGGTGCGCAGGGACTTTGTAGAACATAACTGCCATGAATGATGAGAATCGGCTGGAAGTAGAAGCACCCACACAAAGCGCGGCGAAGACAAGCGATCCGGAAGGGTTCATGCAGAATCTCTGCGAGAAGGCAGGAAGCACTCCAGGCAGTTTATTGCCATCCTTGCTCCTGCTTTGCCAGGAATCTGGTTCTGAAAAGAGTTAAAAAGGAATTGTCACACATCTCACACCATTTGCTCCTGTCAGAGACAGAAGAACAACAATGGGTTGTAACCACCCCTTATACTCCAGTCACTGCCACTCATTATGTTCTTGTTGTATTAAACAACTCCTCTTCCGCCTGCGGGCGCCTCACGTTTCTGCCCCCAGAGAGGGGGCTCTAGGCAGAGCCTGTGTCTCCTCACGGCCTGAGGGGGCTGAAAGGGCCCTTGTCTCCTCCTCTCTGGGTGCTTTCTGCCTTCCTTTTCTCTCTGTCCCAACGAGCTTGTATTTGTTGTTTCCTCTTTCATTGACCCTGGGGGACGCAAAAAGCAATCAAAGCCTTGTCTAGATCCTGGCTCCCTGGCCAGGTGACAGAGAGGACGTCTCCAAGCCGCGGTCCTGGAGCAGGACGGCTGGAGAGGGTGCAGGGACTCTGGCCACCAGGTTTCTCCCCATAGGGGAAAGGCCCTCCGCCATCTGCTGTCTCCTCCCAGGTCCGGGGGGGGGGCGCGGAAGCAGCGAGAACAAGGGGAAGCTGCGAGATTGACTCTAGCCCTGGGTCTGATTAGACTCCCATTCCTGAGGCTCTCCCAGCTGAACGCTTTCTCCCCAGGCAGCCAATTGGAGAAAATTCTGCAAACCTGCGCCGAGGCCTGGCTTAGGGAGGCAGCCGCCCCACCCCCGCTCCATCCCCTCCCCCCCTCCTCCCAGGAAACCCGAGGGCTGTGGGTACTTGATCTTTATCAGAGCCCTCTCGGCCTCCCGGCTGCCCGCCAGCGACGAGTAGCCCCCAGCCAGGATCCTCTAGGAATTCAGAGTCTGGTGATTGTATTACCTTCTGAATTCTGTTAGCCGGGTTAGCGGGGGTGGGATGGGGGGATGAGGAGGGGGTAAAGGGGAGCGAGGGGAAGCCGTCCTGCAGCCTTTGGTGCCAAGCAGGCACCTTTGGGTGCTTGCCTCTGCCTTTCCAGCTTTGCCTCCTTTGCCTCCATCTCTCATGCTCTCTGCCGGGAAGGCCACGGATTATGTATCCATAAACTAAAAAAAAAATACGGGTTTTTACAGATTGCTAATAGAAGAACAGAAGTTAACAGTAAGGGCGCCTGGGTGGCTCAGTTGGTTAAGCGACTGCCTTCGGCTCAGGTCATGATCCTGGAGTCCCGGGATCGAGTCCCATGTCGGGCTCCCTGCTCTGCAGGGAGTCTGCTTCTCCCTCTGACCCTCTTCCCTCTCGTGCTCTCTCTCTCATTCTCTCTCTCAAATAAATAAATAAAATCTTTAAAAAAAAAAAAGAAGTTAACAGTAATAGTAATAATAACCAAACTGTGTGCCAGGAACTGATCTAATTGCTTTACACATATTAGCACATTTAATTTTCATAATATCTCTATTTTGCGGGTGAAGAAACTCAGGCAGAACTGTGTGACCTTATGATGTCCACACTTCCCCATTTTGAACGGCTGTTTCCTCATAACCATAAAGAGGCATTAGACAAGATGAATCTAAAGTACCTTTTTTTTTTAAAGATTTTATTTGTTTATTTGACAGAGAGAGCACAAGCAGGGGGAGGGACAGAGGGAGAGGGAGAAGCAGGCTTCCCACTGAGCAAGGAGCCCGATCCCAGGACCGCAACCTGAGCCGAAGACACACATTTGACTGACAGAGCCACCCAGGGGCCCCTAAAGTACCTTTCATCTCCAATTTGTTGTTGTTGTTCTCTTTTCATACCAGGAAGGAGGACATACATATATATATGTATATAATTTTGCATGTTCACAAATGGAATAGGTCAGTTACAACCATGTATCTCATGAGGAATCCTGGAGCAGAGCATAAGCTCTCTGAGGGTAGGACCCCTGTCTGGGAAATTAGATTCTTACAGAGCTAACAAGGCCAGAGGGCCAAATCCATGTTTATCTCTCCCAGTCTCTTCCTTTAAAAGGATCCAGGGTGTCTTTCTTCTGCCCTTGCATTATGGATTTTGTCTCATTTCTCCTTCATTTTTCTTTTTTTTTTAAGATTTATTTGAGAGAGAGAGAATGAGAAAGTACATGGGGGGAAGGGTCAGAGGGAGAAGCAGACTCCCCGCTGAGCTGGGAGCCCGATGCGGGACTCGATCCCAGGATTCCAGGATCGTGACCTGAGCCGAAGGCAGTCGCTTAACCACCTGAGCCACCCAGGCGCCCTCTCCTTCATTTTTCTAATATTGGCATAACTTACATTCCGTGAAATGCACAGATTTTAAGAATAAAAGTTCTATGAATTTTAACATACACTGGGATGAGCCACACCTCTGTCAAGATACAAACCACTTCCATCACCCTAGAAAGTTCTGTCATGCTCCTTCTTAGCCGATCCTATTTCCATCCCCACTCTGACCCCCAGGTAACCACTGTCCCATTTTTTTTTCACCAATTTTCATCAATTCTTTGCCTTTTCTATAACATCATATAAAAGGAATATACGTTTGTGTTTGTCTGGTTTCTTTGGCTCAGCCTAATGTTTTTGAGATTCAGCCACATTGCTGCATATATCCATAGTTTATTGCTTTCAATTCTTGAGTAGTATTCTATTGAACATATATATCACTGTATTCTCATTGATGGACAGGCTATTATGAATAAAGCCACTATCAGCATTCTTTATACAAATCTTTTTGTGGACATAAGTTCCAATTTCTCTTTGCTAAATACCTAGGAGTAGAATTGATGGGTAATAGGGTAGATGGAATGTTGAACTTTATAAGAAAGTTGCCGAACTATTTTCCAGTAGTTTTTGTGCTATTTTACACTTCACCAGCAATAAATGAGACTTCTGATTGTATGATATCCTCATCAACATTGGGTTGTCTCTCTGATATTGAGTTGTAGGAGTTTTTAATATAATCTGATGTTTGGGAGGTTGATTTCTAGCATGATGGTGTGAGGAGCTCCATAGAACCACTCCCCAGTGAAATTGGTGGGAATTATTTTTTTAAAAAACAGCGATATTTAAAGGCTCTGGAAATGGGTGTAAGGACATATAACAAATAAAGAAATATCTATTGAAGGGGCACCTGGGTGGCTCAGTTGGTTAAGCGACTGCCTTCAGCTCAGGTCATGATCCCGGGGTCCTGGGATTGAGCCTCGCATCGGACTCCAGCCTTGCATCTGGCTCCAGCCCTGCATCGGGCTCCCTGCCTGGCCGGAAGCTTGCTTCTCCCTCTCCCACTCCCCCTGCTTGTGTTCCCTCTCATGCTGTCTCTCTCTCTCTCTCTCTCTCTATCTCTGTCAATTAAATAAATAAATAAAATGTTTAAAAAAAATATCTACTGAAGAAAATCTACAAATATTTAGTAAGTAAAGTGATAGTCTGGGGTGCCTGGGTGGCCCAGACGTTAAGCATCTGCCTTCGGCTCAGGTCATGGTCCCAGGGTCCTGGGATCGAGTCCCACATCTGGCTCCCTGCTCAGCGGGGAGCCTGCTTCTCCCTCTGCCTCTCCCCCTGCTTATGTTCCTTCTCTCGCTGTGTCTCTCTCTGTCAAATAAATAAATAAAATCTTAAAAAAAAAAAGAAAAGTGATAGTCTGTGGTATTGAACCACTACTTCATAGAAATTGACAAGCTGATTCAAAAATTCATACCAATTTTCAACGGACCCAGAATAACCAAGACAACTTGAAAAAAAAAAACAAAAACAAAGTAGGGCTCAAATTCCCGATTTAAAAAATTACTAAAAAGCAACAGTAAACATTGTGGTAGTGACACAGGAAAATCATATAACCAATAGAATACAACTGAGAGTCCAGAAATAAAACCATCTGTCTACGGTCAACTAATGTTTGACAAAGATGCCAAGACTATTCAATAAGGACAGAAGTCTTTTCAGCAAATGGTTGAAATGTGAATAGCTGCATGAAAAAGAATTAAGCTGGGTTCTTACTTCACAATATATACAAAAATTAACTCAAAATGGATCAAAGATCTGGGGTCCCTGGGTGGCTCAGTTGGTTAAGCGTCTGACACTTGGTTTTGACTCAGGTTGTAATCTCAGGGTCCTGGGATCGAGCCCCATTTCAGGCTCTGGGCTCAGCAGAGAGTCTGCTGGAAATTGTTTCCCTCTCCCTCTGCTTCTCCCTTACACGTGTTCTCTCTCTCTAAAATAAATAAATAAAATCTTTTAAAAAATAGATCAAAGACCTATAGGTAAGGCCTAAAAGTATAAAAAAAAATAGGGGTAATAACCTTCATAACCTTGGATTTGGCAAAGGATTCTTATGTATGATACCCAAAGTATCAGTAACAAAATAAAAACCAGATAATTTGGACTTCATCAAAATGAAAAACTTGTCTGATTCAAATGACACCATGGGGAAAATGAAAAGACAACCCACAGAATGGGAAAACAATACCCACAAATCCTATATCTGAAAGGGAATTGTATCCAGAATATAAAAAGAATTCTTACAACTTAGGTTACAAGTAATCCAATTTGAAAATGGGCAAAGGATCTGAATAGATATTTCTTCAAGGATTAAAATAATAACCCTTTGATTATTTGTTGATATAGGGGTAGGTATATGTTTCCGTGTGTGTGACTATACTATTAGTTTCCTATTGTTGCTGTAACAAATTACCAAAAATGTAGTGGCTTAAAGCAAATTTATTATCTTACAGTTCTGGAGGTCAGAAATCCAAAATGAGTTTCACTGGGCTGAAATCAAAATGTTGGCAGAGCCAATGCTTCCTCCAGAGGCTAGGAGAGAGAATCTATTTCCTTTCCTTTCCCAGCTTCTAGAGACCACCAAACTCACTTCCTCCATGTTAGAAAGGCTTCACTCCATCCTCTGCTTCTGTCCTCACATCTCCTCTCTGTGACTCTCAGAGTCTTCTGAGAGTCTTCTGCCTTCTTCTTACAGGGACCATTGTGATTACATGGAGCCCACCTAAATTATCCAAGATAACCTCTCCATTTCAAGACTCTTAATTTCGTGGTTTCTGTAAATTCCTCCTGCCATGTAAAGTAATGAATTCATAGGTTCTGGGGATTAAGATGTAGACATCTTTGAGAGAGCCATTATTAGTCTACCGGAGCATACATGTGTGCATGCATGCACGTGTGTTTATATCAAATATTTCTGCAAATTCATGGCTTGCTTATTCACTTTCTTAACTACATTCTTTGATTAACAAGCTTCTCCTTCTTCTTCTTCTTCTTTTTGTAGAACTAGACAGGTGATTCTAAAATTTATATGAAAATGCCAAGTACCTAGAATGGCTAAAATGGTCCTGAAAAAGAAGAACACTTCTTTTCCTTTTCTATGTTTTGCTGAATTCCATTTACCAATATTGTATTAAGGATTTTTGCATCTTTGTTTATGAGAGATATTGGTCTACAGTTTTTTTTTCTTATAATGTCCTGTCTTTGTCTAATTTTGGTATTTGTTTAAAGTGGCTTTATAATATCAGTTGGAAAGTATCTGCCCATCATCTGTTTTTTGCAAGAGTATTTGTAAGGTTAGCATTACTTCTTCTCTAAGTGTTTTATGGGACTTACTAAAGAAGCTATCTGGGCCTAGAGGTTTGTTTTGTTGTTGCTGTTTTCCAAAAGATTGTAAATTATGAATTTGAATTCAAAAGAGAGAAGACTACCAAGATTTTTCTATTCCTTCTTATATCTACTTTTTTTTTTAAGATTTTATTTATTTGACAGAGAGTGAGAGAGAGCACAAGCAGGGGGAGCAGCAGAGGGAAGGGAGAAGCAGACTCTCTGCCGAGCAGGGAGCCCAATGTGGGGCTCCATTCCAGGACCCCGGGAT